TGTTGGCCGCGGTGGCAGCGGTGGTGACGACCGCGCTTCGACGTCGACGGTTAACCGTCCGTTAGAACACATATTGCGCCAAACACGCAAGCGGCACCGATCGCACGCGCTAGCGACGGTATTATTAAAAACTGGATTCGTTATTTTCCTCTTTTATTTTTAACTCCCGCTTCCCCTTCAGCTACCCGCGTAGCAGTATACGCACAAAGATACAATCGGCCAGAGGAGAGCACCTCTGTGTGTCGATTTCATCCGACCACTCGTTCTCTCTCGCTCTCACCATTTCTCGCCATCCCTGTCCTCACGACTCCATCTCTCTCGTTCCGACTCCCCACGTGCACAACGGTAAGCGATCTGAACGTAACACCCCCCTACCATCATCCCTCCTTTTTCACGGACGCGCTCTTTGTTTCTCACATGCCAGCAGGATAGAGCGTATTACGTCACCGCGCGTACGTATAGTATCTCGCCACCGCCCGGGCGCGAGATAACATTATAATAGTATTCCGTTTACAGACGAGATACTTCCAGGCGGGCACGCGAGGCGGATCTCATCACTACACGTACCGTTGTTAGGCATATCATGTTATGAATACTTGTTGTAGTTGTTGTTTCTTGTATTCGTTCGTCTGGCTTACACCAGACGAATGCCGCCTACTCGGTGGGTTAATAACAATAATCACGATGACAAGTGATAAAACGACAAGTGTGAACGTGTGTGAGTGTGCGCGCGCGCAATGTGCGTGTACAGTTTTAATTGCAACAATTCAACCAATTTCCAGCGTATGTTTGGAGATCATTCGCGCATCATTAAGGCGAGATTAGGTTTTGAAAATGCGATTACGCTAAAGACGTTGAGAAATCGACGAACATTTTTAAATCAACTGTCTCATAAGAATTTCTCTCGAAAGTAAAAGTTACCGTACCAAAAGACCAACAAAAAATGCTCCGGACACCACCATCACATCAGTGGTTATCGAACTTCTTAGTTTTAAACATAAATGATACATTTTATAAGTCGGTCTCTATTTTACTCACACTTATTTTATAACTATAATATATACAGTCCACGTGAGGAATAAAGAATTATTTAAGAAAATTAACAAAGATAAAACTTATTTACAAAAATAGATCACTTGATCTTTTTTTTATTTTTTTCATTTTTTCTGCTCAAATAACTATATTATAAATCAACAATCAACAGTTTATCAGGAGTGAGTAAAAAAATTAAAACTTCCGAACAAATATCGTATCAGATTAAAATAATTGTTTATAAAAAAAAAACATTTATTACATACTTTTAATTACGAATGGAAATATTTATTAAAATTCAAACAAAATATTGTTTTTAATTGATTATTTATTTGAGTATTTAAAATTAACTATGTTACGGTAGTTATGACCTATTGCAGAAATTTTCCTCAAATTAAATAAAAAATAACATCTACACGTAAAATTATGTTTAACTAAAAACAAAATTTTTAATGTAAAATATGATAATATTAACACAATTTCATTAGAAATTATTTATTAATCTTAAACAATTTTCTTCGGTGTATTTATCATAAATTGGAATGAAAAACAAAAACCAATATTAATTTAAAAAATTATCAAAAAAACTTAACCCAAGCTAAGATTGGCGAATCAAATAGTTGGTTTAATCTTTTTATGAATTCAAGAATTAATATCAGTTAATTTATAATTAAGAAATGGATAACAGCGTATGTTTCATAAAATATCAACAAGTATTACACTAAAGCATTATTTTTTAATATCCTACAGATATATTTATAAAACGAACAGAGAATATTAAATTACTTTGTACTTATAATATTAAATATCATGAATAATAAAACAAATAAAATCATTTGTACATTAATATACCATAGTAAAATTATTATTTAATAAATTTAATATATATATATATATAAGTATTTGATAAACTTATCTTTAAAAAATACACGACATTATTTATATAAATATAGCGTAATCCTTATGTTATTTTTACTTTTTCTACAAAACAATTTGATTAAAATTGTTTATATAATTTAATACCAATACCTATCGATAAGTTATAACATTATGCAATCTTACAGTATTTTATAATTACTATTATTGTACTCCATAAAATGATTATTGTTTTATAAAAATTAAAAAACAATAAAGAATAAATAAATAAATAAACTAATTAATATACCTATATATTATTTTATATTACATTCAGATTTTAACAAATTACAATGATGGAAAAATTCATCACGAATTGAAAAGCCAAAAAAAACACGAAAATTAGTCTATTAAAGAAGAGACCCAAAGATAATACTCTTCCTTCCATCTTAATGTATTTATAATGACTGTTTGTTTTCATTATTTACCATTGATTCATATTTATTATTTATTACTAAATTACATTTTAAAAATATTATGACTAATACAGTACGTACTCGTTATTACGTATTAATTAGGTAATACGAATAAGTCCCATTTAATCACCCATAAGATTTCAATGATTTTTTTTTCTCTAAACAAATTACATTAAATTAATAATAGTTTATATTATTATAACCCGCTTTCTATCTTTAAGACGTATAATTGTTTTCCAGCTGAACTCTCACCATTTGCAATATCCTTTTGGACAAACACCAAAATCAAATACATAATTGATAAACAATAATTGTCGATGACAATAATGTTACAAACTTTCCATTCCCAAAATTCTGTGCTGAATATTAATATTCAGTAAAATCCGGGACATATACATAGACAACATATTTCCAAAATTCGATTTTTTTTTCTTGTATACTATTTCAAATTAAGAAAAAATATTTATTGATAGTTAAGATAATATTAGACTAACCAAATACATCATACCTATAAAAACAACTTTTAATCAGCAATAAAAACGTCGTACATGTGTACCTAAATAAAATATTAAGTATCCTATTGAAAAGTTCATAAAAATAACTAAATGAAATGAAAATCAAAAACAACATTTTAATAAAATATTTTAAAGTTAAGTGTTTTATATGAAAGAAAGGGTTATCGACCAGTAGTTTTTAATTTATCCAAATAAATACCTATAAAAATTAATTTATAATTTGACTACGTAGTTTTGAAATAAATTTTTAACATTATTGAAAAACATATTTTTACAAACCTTTTTTATTTAGAGATTTGAGTTTTAGGTCAAAAATACAGAATAGATATAATTGTTTAGACAGAGAAAATATGACATAAAGATTTATTTATCTTAAATTGTGCAAAACTATAGTTAAGGTTCGCTTCGATATAAGTAAAAACTTATCATGTATCTAAAAAACAAATACAACATAGCTCAAAAATATCATCTAGTTTGCTTAAACTTTTATACGTAATACGTGATAACAAGTTAATCCGACATTACGAAACTGTACATGAACTTTATTTCTTAATAACATTAATAACATTTAATCCTATTCAGACACTTTTTGCACAGATTATGAATAAATTAAATATAATAATTGAATACTATAAATGTATCCAAAACTATATATATTAACTACCCAGTTTACTTGAATTAAAAATAATATGTATTTCTTATCATACGTACACATAATAAAACAAGGAAAATTGATTAAATATGAAAACAGTAAGTTTTAATTCATACATCTAGAATTTCCACATTATTATATTAAGCATTGCAATGTAAACAACTGACGAGTTTGATAATGTGATCACGTTACATAAACGCACGGGAAATGAGGAAATTTCAATTCAATGTTTTAATTAGATGTATGAGCGACCGAAGCGGAAACTAAAATAGATTATAAATAGGTTTCTCGCGGTAACACCTTTCTTCGAAAAGACACGGTTTTGCCGTAATAATTTGTAAAACCCTTTTCATTATTTATTCACTATTTGTGAACTGCATACAATTAATCAATTATATGACTTATCCAAGGTAATTAAAAATCGATGACTGTGATAATTACTTTTTTACACTTTAAATATAAGTCTTCTTAGTATACATATATATAAATTTCGATCACATAATATACAACAAATCAATAACAATCTCTTAACCCTATAATATAAAATATACCAGGGTTCATGATGATTGCGTTGAGGTTTGAAACCACGCAACATCCAACTTATTTTTTCGAAACGAAGAAGACTTTCAAAAAGGGTGCCAAGAACACAGGTATATAAAAAAAGATTGGTTCAGCACGGCGTTTTCAGTCTACAACATAATTCTATATCTCATTGCGAACGGGATGTATATAGTGTTAGCTTACAGCTTACATCCACACATCATCGACTTAACTATTATTAGCCTCTAAGGAGCTCCAAAATTGCTGATAATAAAATTGTATTTAACCAAATATGAACTGCAAGAGTCCCTTTGTCAACACGTATTTGAAATTAAACCTTTAGTTATTCAATTTTATCGCAATCAAATAATTATTTAAAAATTATGGTAAGCCAAAAACCATGATAACGTACAGATTAAATATGACATAGGTATGATATATTCCAACAAGTACCTACGTATTATCTCAATAATAGTTAAAAGTTCGATATAATAGACCCCACGCTTTATAGCAAATTCAAAATACTACGGATAATCCTAACACCGCAGGTATAGCATTTACATTGGTAAATACATAATAAACATAGGCTCATAAATAAGAGGTCTTAACAAAATCTGCAGGGAATAAAAGGAATTTCGAAACGTCGTCGGAACCGACAAACGAAAATAAAAGGGGCCAAGCTGACGCGAATCGCGTATACCTGAATGCAATAGGCATATTATAAATCATATATATAAATATTCCTATACTCCAGGGTCTGCCTCATCCCTCCTAACCAATTTATATTCTACGAATCATCCCTTCGTTCCGGCAGCCGTTCTAACTACACAGCACTTCACGCACACGCTCAACATTGACAACACGATAAACATTATATGATGTTGCGATGTACGATAGCGTGTGGGAAAAATCGACGATTTTGTTACTAACCTTATGACGACGAATCACCCAGCATTGAAATTACTCGCCCGACGAACGGGACACGGTGCACGGACAACGGTGACGCGCACAAGTTCTTCTGGGCCAGTAAACGCACACGGTAAATGTAAAGGGGGGGAAAAAACAATAATATATGATATGTAACGACAACAATGAACCCTGACGGTGGGCCGGTGCAAAACGAAAAAAACGGTTGGAAAAAAAATTGTGTGAAAAGACGGAGGTACAATGCACGGCACGACGAACAGTATTCACATGACGACGACGACGACGACGGCAAGACTGAGTAGCGTATGTCGACGCGCACGTCGAGACACTGGGCAACAAAACGACAGAACGGAACGACCGCGACCGGGACACGCACACGCACCGGAGGAAACGTGAAGATTTTCGGCTGCCCGAGATCGGCGCGCGCACGTGAACGAGTCTGGCTCGCACACAAACACGGGGTTCATGATCGCTCTCTAGCGGCCCGTATCCAAATCATTGCTCGTAAAACGATTTGGCAACGTCTGCCGAACGATCGCCGTGCTGTCGATTCCACCAAAGAATCTGTCCATAATTTTCTCTGAAATATCAGAAAAAAATGTTGCAAAAATATGACTCGACCTACAAATGCAACAGTTATTTCAAAGATAATACATACTACGCATTATATAATGAGTACTATAGCGTACTATTTATGAACATTTTACATTTTTCAATCACCCCTCCCCTCAAATTCTATACTGCGTTCGCCCCTGATACTGTACATTATTTAAAATTTATAATGCAATGGCAACAAGAGCGTATTTGAGGGGGCGGGGCGAAGGAGGCATTCGCCCCCCTCATGGCTCGTGTTTTTTTTTGAATATAATACATTGATTTATTTAAAAAATGCAATGTATAAATAATTAAGAATATAAATGATAAGTCTATCATTATAACAGGAACATGAGCTGTAGGTAATGAACTGTATTTATTTTTAAGTTTGTATTGAAGAAAAATTAGTTTCGCCCTTCTCCCCCATGGCCTCAACACAAATACGCCTTTGAATGGCAATGGATATCCAACTAAGGTAGGCAGTACCTACTTAAGTACTCCACAACTCTCGTCTTTAGTTAAATGTTAAAATAAATCATCCTGTAAATTACGTTCCTTGAATGTTACTGCGTGTTTTATAAACAAAACTAATAATAAACAAACTTACCAGTCACTGAGTCACCTACGCCCACCGCGTGTGACTGCATGGGTCGGTTTACAGTGCGAGTGTAGATTTCGCCTAAACAATCAAAGAATACGCCGTTTTCGCTGTATTGTTTGCCAAACTCAAAAATCGGAATTATTTCTCTGCAAACACGACTGTGTTCATAAATATGTATAAACATATATATGTGACCGATTATTATTATTATTTCGCATACATTGTACATACATAGTTACCAGTTACCTAATACCGTAACACCTAATGCGTGTATTCTATACCGCGGAAAAAAATATAACGATTTCATACCGCTTTGTGGCCTGAATTCCGCTCAACGATGCCGCGACATTCATGTCGATTCGTATTATTATATTACCATTGATCAAATATACATATATTTAATCAATGATATTACTATAAACTCATTGTCTGGTGTTTTATGTGTCTGTGGATTGGGCAAAGACCAATCTCGCTCTGGTGAAAATAAGTTGTTGATCCATCATAAAAAACATTTTTATATTTAATGCATACGGACCTCAAATTATTATTTTTTAACCAGTGGCGGATCCAGGATTTTCTTTTGGAAGGAGTTTTGAAAAATATTTTCCCTTGATAATGAAAATTATTGATTTTTAATACATATTTTTCCTGATTGGGGGGGTTAACCCCTAAACCCTTTCCCTGAATCCACCACTGTTCTCAACAATTGTTATTCCAAATTTTAAAAAAAGTTTTTTAAATTAAAAAAAAAAAAACATCCCTATAATTTAAAAGTTTAAACTGGCCCTTTTTAACCCAAGCCAACACATATACCTTACACACCGTGACCAAAGATATCACTTTAATATTTAATTAATATTATTACAAACCGTTTTCTAAAATCCAAAACAAATAAATTACACCGCTACCGCTTTCCCGGCATTATTACCTACCTTTACGATTAACTTGCACACTATAACATTATTTAGGTACAGGCTCAAAGTTTTTAATCATGACACATTACGTGTATTGCGTAAGGTTTATCGTGTGTTCGTTATGTGTATGTGACATAATTATAAACATAAATCGATGGTTCATAGATAATACTTTGCCCACGCTCGTACGAAATGCATGTATTTCTACGATTTTATGTTTTTCGAACACCTTGATTCTTTAACGCAACAACTATCAATTTCATTTTGAACGATATACAACAACGAATTATCATTCGTTGAAGCGTTTAATGTCACCGCCGCACAAATGACCGTGTAAAAATAGACATAAATGAACGGTAACACGGACGGTTACTTGGACGCTGGACTAGTGGACTCGCCATACCGAACATTTTTCGCCTTCCGTA